GAATAAGAATTGGACTTCACTTCAAATCCCCTCCTAGAAAATATTTGTTTTCAGTTAAGAAAGTAGCAACAATCAAAGCACTACAAATTGAAAGAGAAAATTCAATTTGAAGGTGACTAGAAGAAGCCATGATTTGCCTACTCATGCAGCACAGAAGTCAATCATTAAGGACAGCCTATTACCTAATAAGTGACATGAGAGAGTAAAAACCAATAAAGTCCCTCTACTCAGTGTTCTGCACTTTCTACGAATATATAGCAAAAAGCGGATCAATATGATGGGTCACAGCATGGAAGCAAAATTAATAGAACATTATATTTTATGTAGATGAGTGTTTTTTTGGCCCTTCCCACATCCACTTATTGAGAATAGATGGGTTACCGAGATTTTCCTAGTGCAAAAAGTTACTTTCAGGCAGTTAACATAAATCTCTTTACTTTAAACTCGTGCTACCTTGATGCATTTAGATGTGAAATTTCTATAACGAAGAATCTTTGATTTTCAAAATTCGTGCATCTTTGTTGAAGTGAGAAGTCTCAATAATATCTACAACAGAATCAAATAATAATTTTTGACTGATTTCTTTGTAACAAACATGGAAAGTAATTTAGTTGTTATAGCTATCACGTTCCCTTCTTTCATGTATCAACTCATCTCTCAATTAACCCAAAAGTGGTTAATAGATCCCACATCAAACAGAAACAAACTTTTATTTTACCATTCAACTCTTATGCAATGAACATGAACCCCTTGTCCCACTACCCAAACTTTCCATTAGGAAACACGGAAATCACACTCCAAATTTGTGATAGAAACTTTGCCCAGAAAATTGATCTCCAAAGACCTTCCTAAGTCCAGTAGATCTTTCAATGCAATGTCTCTCAACATTTTTCTTCTTTTAGCTTTGGCAATGCAGGAGTTTTAACAGCTAGAAACCGACATTGACAGTTCAAACTAATAAATACATGTCCTCCTTGACCATAAAGGACCTCGATTTCCTTCCAAGTGAATATACCCTGAAGTAGTATACCAACTATCATACTATCCTTGCCTAGATTTCAGAGATATCCTCAGCCAACAGCCCCGTTTCTTATTTTAAACATTCGGAAATTGAGAAAATTCGTCCATTAACCCATACGTATGCAATTCCAATCAGCCATTCAAACACGAAATAATGGTAAATATCATTTATGCATCAAATTCTAATAAACGCAATATGCCCCCCCCCCCCCAAACACCTACCAACACACACTCACACACAAAACAATGAACTCACCAGTATCTAACTGCTTTGCACTGAGAGCACCGAGTAGTGGTGGGGCAATAGCAGACAGCACAGTAATACCTCTTTTCAACCTGTTGAACCGAATTTTCGACCTGTGGAAACGGCGGCGGCGAATTATATGCTTCAACTACTTGGAGTTTGGCAATTTCCGCATCTTCTTTCGAGGCCGTAGCCACCAGCCTCAAAATCTCGCCTTTCTTCGCCGCCACATTTTTCCACGTCTGGCTTACTACGAAACCGAAAATCAGTAAAATCGCGACAATTGCTATCATTTATTCAGTATTCAGTTGATTAACCAGCGCCGAGGATTAAAACCGAACTGAAGAGAAATCCTAAGAACCGGATTTTCTTGCTACACATAGACTTCAGTGTTGCGAGGAATTAGAGTAATTTTGTGTGAAGCAGTGGCGACGGCGGTGGCGTTACCGGTGGGTTGGGGAGGGGTAAAATGGTAAACTGAAAATGGAATTGACAAATTTTGACGATGGGGAATTGACGGGAGAATTTTTGTAGTGGATTACGAAAGAAGACGCTATGGACTTTAAAAAGAATAAAGCGAGAAAGTAACATATTGATAGACAATTTGCATTGGTGCGAATTTTTGCCCAAAAGGAAATTTAGAAAGGACAGCTTCGACCTTACTTTTTATTAGGCCATGTTTGGGTAAAGATTAAAATTAATTTTTTTGTAAATTTTGATAAAAATTAATGAATTTTAAAAGTTATGGAATCCATAAAATATGTGATTGAAATGAATTGTTAACTTTGATTTAAGTTAAAATCTAGATTTTATTTGATACCAAACTGGGGCTAGGTCTCATTTGACATAACCTATGAAAACTAAAAATTCATTTTTGAGATCCAAAAATAATTTTTGAATTCATTTGAGTAATTTTATGAAAGTATTTTTTTCTACTTGAGAGAGTTTTTAGATGAAATTGATTCTCAATATCGCTTCCTCCAAAAAAAAAAAAAAAAATCTCTCTTAAAAATTAATTTTTAAAAAAAAATTAAGATAAGTTCTTCTACATGAAGCAAAAACAAAAATCAGGTCAAATGCATTAATTTTAAAATATAAATGGAAGTGATGATTTTATTGAATGAAACACTTGACTTTAAATAGCTATACAACTAGGCAGGGGTGGAATTAGCCGAAGGGTTTTACTGAGTGTACAGCTCGGGCTGTACACTCAGTTTCACAGCCCCCTCACAATGAGGGGGCCCCACCTGTTTTTTTTATTTTTTTTTTTACTGTGCATGGGCCCCCCCGATGTGAGGGGGCTGTGAAACTTGGTGTGAACCGTGCTACGTATATAGCACGGTCCTTAGCCGAATTGGTTAGCCTTTTCACTATTAATAAATAGAATATTTAGATTATATATTTAATAATTCAAATTAACAACAAACATTTTTGATAGCTTAATTGGTTAGCCTTTTCACTATTAAATTTAAGGATCTATGTTCGAAACTCTTCAAGAGCAATATTTTTTATAACTTTTGTATTTCAACAATTTTACCAAAATAAATGCAAAGAAGATGATTCAAATCTGCTATCTTTCTTAAATATATTGATCACTTTACCATAATGACACTTATTGATTTTTAGCACATAATGTAACAAAATAATATATGTTCAATTTTATTAATTTAATGCAAGTAAAAACATTTTAATGGTATTTTGTCCCTCTTCTTGATTTTTTTTTCTTTTTTTTTCTTGCCTTCTTTTTTCCCTCTAATCAATTGATTTGAGAGTTTGATCAATTAATGGTGAATAAATTTGTAGGAAAATTGGCTTTAGTGTCATAAGGAATCTTTCAACAAAACTTATTTAATTAATAAAAGATTCTACTTTTCGATCGTAAAAAATCGATTGCGAAAAAGTGGAATCATACAAGCATATAAAATTGAAATAAACACACAAATAATTTTAATTTTGTTAATATAATAATGTTTGTTTAATTAACTTTAATTGTAAGCTGAATATTGGCATTTTGTTAATATATATTGCATATTTAACTGAAAAATAAATTATGGCATTTTGCAGATTATGGAATGATTTTTTCATCTAAAATGAAAGTTCGTACCTAATTCTAGTTCTAGTGGTGTATCTAGTTCTTCTTGTTTTAATCTGTACAATTTTTTGAATATTATTTAATTAAATATTAATAAACAACCCCACTATAACGAACGTTGACCATCGATGGTAAGCTTTCAACGCTCACGATCTACCTAGTTGAACTCAACCCCTAGATTTTTCCCTGCAACTAGGGATAATAGAGAATTAAAAATTTGTATATCTTATGATAACAAACACTGATATCTTGAAAATAGCCTAAAGAAATATTCAACAAAAAGGACTATTTCAAACTCTGTCTAATTTCCCTAAAACTTAGGGATTATTCGACTAAAACACAAATAAACTATCACTTTAACATCATCACCTAGTTTAAAACATGAGTTTAATTTAACTCCAAGTAGGTTTCGAATCTTCAAGACGCTTCCATAGATTTGATCGTGGTTTACAATTATAATTTCCGGGCTCCAGTTTCAATGGTTTAGTAAATATGTCAACTACCTACTCCTGGCTTTGACAATGAATTAGCTCCATCACACCGTCTTTAGTAAGATCAAGAAGAAAGTGAAATCTAATGTATATATGTTTGTTCGTTCCATGTAACATAGGATTCTTGGATAATTTAATAGTTGAACAGTTGTGACAAAATATTTTGGTAGCCTTCCTCTGTGTGCAACATAATACTTCAAGTATGTGCTATCAATCGTTGCTCCATCAACATCTCTAGTCAACTTAGTTCTTGGAACAATAGGATACTGTACTAAATTTCAACCAATAATCTAAAATCTTACCAGCACTTCATGTGTATACTCCCTTTGCCCAACAAAAATCCCATCAACTGTTTGTTTAACCTCTATGTCTAAGAAATAATTCATCTTTCCTAGATCTATCATCTCAGACTCAATCATCATACACTTCTTAAAATCAACAAACATAGCTTCATCATTTCTAGTGTTGACCTTGCAAATTGTACCTCCTACATGGCCAACCGATAGCCGCTTCACGTAATCCTACCTGCATGCAATCAACACACGGTCAGATGTACACGGTCGGAACCAACTGAGGTGGTGGTGGCTGCATACACTCCGACGGTCAAATTAGTATTCGATGATCGGAACAGTGTCCACGTTGTGCATGTGAATGGGGAGGAGATTATATATATTTTCTTGTTATGGAGAGCTAAGTTGCTAGAGTTTCATTACCTTTACCTCCTGTCAAGCCTTGGATATTTATAGATGAGGAGAACCGTGGGATGTGAGACACGTGTACGCATCTGATGGCGTGAGGCGTTTGCTCATAGGCGTCAATCAGCCGCATCTATAGAGTGGGCGGGTAATAACTTCTTCTGAGTTGAGTTGACATAAAGTTAATACGTCACATCAACTAGACCCATGGGGACGTCAAATCAATTGGGCCTTGGAGGCAGAGAGGATCTTGAAGCAGATTCTCTTTCTGAAAGTGGCGTCGCATTGCGCTTTTGCGTCAAGGATGCTTCAAAATATAAGAATCACTTCGGGTTGGCAGTGGATAC